GAAAGAAAACAGCAGGAATGACACCACTGAAGAAACTCTAGAGGACGGACTTGAGCGACATGTGTCCGGTTCCAGGGGCACATGGCGTGCCGGGCACGAGGAATGGAAACCACCACAACCAGGCACACAGTGTGGGATCCCAGAGAACCAGATACAAACAGAAAACCCCAAAAGCTTCCGTGGGGGCGGGGGGATGGGGGCGGGGACAAGCACATATATAAAAGATGGAGATAAAAAAAAAAGAAACACAGCTTTCCCTCCAGTAGCACTGGCAGCTGGAGGTAATGGAAGGATGCCTTCAAAATTCTCAATGAAAGTGACTCTGATTCTGGAATCCCATGCTTCCATAGTCCCAGCAGTCTGTGAGCTGAGCAGAAGGGCCACGCGTGCATCCTCACCACCCACAGTGCTCAGCACCAGTTTTATTGTTCTCTGGAGCACTGAGAGGCTATCTTTTATCTACTTATGACTGGTCCCAAGAATGACTTAGCTTGTTGAGGAATTTTTCTGGATATTGATTATTCTCAGCTACTTCTCCTGGGTTCAAGTCATTCGTTAATCAGATGACCTTACAGTAAAAGAATCCTATGGGGTCCGACACATGCCTTAGCTTGGGTCCCGGGAGGCAGAGCCTGGCCTGCACACAGTTTGTTGGGAACGTGATCCCAGGAGGAGGCGTGGAGGATGGAAGGGCTGAAATGGGGCGGCAGGTGGGCCAGGATGTGGGTGGGTGACCGGCTTGGCTATAAGTGTGGGCAGACTGACACTCACTACATTCGGATCTTCTCAGGACGTCCATTCTGAGGGTGCAAGGGAGCGCTTATCCACCGGCTTATGTCCTCCGTTGGTTAAGGAAGCCGGAGGCGGCTGTGCTGGGCTGAGGCTGGTGGTGGATGGAGGAACAGGTGATGTGAAATGGCCCACAAGAGGCCCCGGTACAACCAGAAACCTCAATCCAGGCTCATGGAGATTTAATCAACATCCTCTTTAGGTCCAGATGAGCCGTTAATTCACTCACTGAGCTGCAAACTCCGCCTCTTATCCATCGGACATCACGCAGGTCCTGCAGCTGCCAGCGGAACCCAGACATGCCTGGCAGGGCCCACAAGGTTCACCTTCCGTGACCTTTGTTTCCTGTCAATGCATGACAGCTTCCTAGAGATGACTGCTTCTTCTATTTTTTGTTAATTATCCATTCAAACATCTTACCTGGGACTGACCATTCTCCACAATTCCTCCAGCGTTGTAAGAGCTTGGCAGTCCACCCTCATTATATTAGGGACCTGACTCATCTGGGCCTGATTCAATGCAGATGGGGCCCTCCTGTGATCTCCACAGCGATCGCAGGCTTTCATTTCCTCTAATCACCATTTATTATACTTTTTCCACTTGAAGATCATTTTCCTTGAAAATTAGGAAGTACACCAGGAGCTGAAGAGGGTCACCTCCTCCTGGTCGCCACCTGCGGCCAGAATTTTGAGCAGCAGGCCAGCCCTGCCCTTTCCTCCCAGCTTTTCACATATGCAAGCCCCGCCCCCCCAATGGATGTTATCCAATCCCAACTGAGATCAGCCGGCAGCCCCGCCCAGTCATCCCTTCTTTGACTCACTTTGGACTCTATGTTCTTCATCCTATATTTTTTACATTTTGTTCTAAAAACGTGTGCTTGGCAAACAATGATTTGGATACTTGCTTGTTTTCCCTTTCATTGGCATAATTAACAATCA